TATTGATACTTTACTATTTTTGATGATACTAATTAATATTATTGATACTATGGACTGAAATGTGATGTGTTATAAATTGAGCAATTAGTATAGATCATCGAAATATATATTGATGCATATATTTATTTATATGATTTATAATATATTATTTCACTTTTTATTACATTGATTTCAGTTGTAAGATATTAGTTATTTTCTGGGCTATTCAGTTATTATGTGGTTTAAATGATTTTAGGAAAGGAAACTATAACTTAAGGTTATGTATGCATGTAATGATGTTAGTGTAGGTTTTATTTCAGTTCTTTGGTTTATGTATTCATTTGTAGCTAGAATGACTATTATATATTATATTATATTATATTCTACTGTTATGATGTAATTCTATACTATATAAATGTAAATTATATTTTTTGTTATTTATTAGTTCTTTGTAATGCATTAAATTAGCTCTGGGTGTTGATATTGACCCGATTCAATGTTTTATTAATAAATAAAATGAATTGACAAGATAATAAAGATTAAAAAGAAAAAAAAAGAAATTCTTTCACTATAGATCTCAGGGCGTGATAAAGTGGCATCAGAGCAATGGTAGTGAAAGAATTTAATTGTAATCAGAGATGCATTAATGATTGTATTATTTAAGTGTGTTTATAGATTTATTTTGTTTCAAAGAATTTATTTTGTATTTGTGTTTTAACATATTCATTTTGGAATTAAGTTTTGTTTATTGATAGGGAAAATGGATCCAACAAGGAAAGGAAATAAATTGGAACTCAACACTAAGGTGTTTTTAGTAACTTCAAGAAATATGAAAAAAAGTGCCACTATGATTGCTTAGATGGTCAGTGATTAATTTATAAAACAAGTTGGTCATAGCTATAAGAAGATGGGAGGAAGTAGTAAGAAAATGTTTTTAAAACTATTAATTTTCTACCACTCTATAATGAATTTGGTGTGGAAGGCGACATGTGGGATCTTGCTACAAGGTGACAGGACAAAATTTCAAGTACAATGATTATGGGCACCGAATAACAGAATGTCCTTTTCCTAGACATGGATAGCAATATGTTCAAAGTGGAAGTAAATATTTGGAGTCAGTGATGGAGGTCTCTAATGTGCCTAAGGATACGACTAGTATGATTTAGTGTTATTTTACATAAGTTAAGTTTGATAAAATTTTAGCATATATTTTGCCTCATTTAATGTGATTTGATGTCATTTTTTGGTTTAGTATATTTTTTTAAATATTAATTTCTTGATTCAATTAGTTGATAATTTTGTTTAAAGATGATATATTTTCAAAGGTGGAAGATTATAATAACCCAAATATATAAAAGTATTTTAAATTAAAAAAAATGAAAATTTGAAATTACTCAATGAGCTAGATCTCTTTAGTGTTGTGTATATGAGCACTGCAACGCTAGGGTTGAGAGCACTGCATCACCAAAAACCATCTATGTGGTACTGGTGTCTCTGGTCTATAATAAATATGATTTTTATATGTGGTTTTATGGCACTTGGACTGAGCATTGTGGTGCTAGTATGCCAATAAGAATATCTTTTTAATATTTTTTTTCTTGAATTCCCCTCCCACCTCTCCCTCACTTGTGAGGCATGATCGGGAAGAAACAAAAGAGGAGGGGGGAAAATAGGAGGGAGAGAGAGAGAGAGAGAGAGAGCAGAGAGAGAAAATTTAACAAGGCATTTTTGTCCATCATTCCTTTTTATGGAAAGTGTCCTAATCATTATAAGTAACTATCCTTTTACTTCTTTTTTTGATTATTTTGATTTTTATTAATTTATATCTCATAGATTTGATAAAAATGCATTATTTTTTGATTTCACAGGCTTTCACTGTGTAACTTTTATATGTTATAGATTTGATTATTTTGAACAATATAATATAATTTGGTAGATTTCTGTAGCAAGCTTAAACAGTTGAAGCTCTCTATCAAGGGGTATAACTGGGCTAATTCCAATCTTTTGGGTAGGCATCTGGATGCACTCCATCAAAAGCAAGATGATTTTCTCCAAAATTTGAGTACTAATTGTAACAATCCAGACGTCACTCTTGCCCTAAAAAATGTCATTAATCAACTTGCACTTGTTACCTTCAATTGGACTTCTTGGATTATGCAAAGGGCTAAAATGAAATAGATGTCTCCTGGTGAAGATGACTTAAAGTTTCTTTTTTTTTTCCAAAATTCAGACTAGGAGGAACTATAAAAAAACTGCTATATCTCTTACCATGTCAATTTCCTTTACTTCTTATAAGGATGCAGTTAATGCTGCCATCAACCACTTCCAAATTCTTTACAATCCCCAAACCAGTTGGTTAGTGGATGTCAAAAATTTTCCCCTTGGGAACATCATTCCTCCTTATTTGGTTGACAATCTCATTAGTTATTCCAATCAAGAAATTAAGATGATGATTTTTTCTGGAACCTCTTCCTCTGCTCCAGGACCCGATGGTTTCAATTTTGAATTTTATAAGAGCACTTGGCTTATTTCAAGTCCCGCCATATGCAAAGCTGCCAAAGTCTTCTTTAAAAGTGCATACTTGCCTAGGGTGGTAATTAAAGAACACTGCCATCACTCTCTTTCCAAAGAACATCATGCTTCTTCTTTAGTGAACTTTAGGCCTATTTCCTTATGCAACACAATCTACAAAGTCATAGCCAAAATTTTGGCTACTCGCATTAAACACATTATGCCTATTATCATTAAAGGGAATCAAATTGATTTTATTCATCAAAGAGTCTCCACTGACAATATCATTCTTGCTAAAGAATTGTTATTCCATTCTAGAACTTTATCCAAATTTAAAATCATGTGTGTCAAGCTTGATATTAAAAACTCTTTTGATAGTGTTTCTAGATAATTTATTTCTGCTAGACTGTTGCATAAGGGGTTCCCAAGCTTGTTTATAAAATGGGTTGATGCTTGCATCAATGATGTTTGGTTTTCTCTTTGTATCGATGGTGCTCTTGAAGGGTTCATCCCCTCTATTGTTGGGATTAGACAAGGATGTCCTCTTCGTACTTTACTTTCAGTGTGGTAATGGATGCATTCTCTTGTCTTTTCGATGGGGATGCTAGCTTTTAGGTTTCCTAGGTTGATGAGTTTCGAATCTCTCATCTCTTATATGTTGATGACCTCCTTATTTTTGACAAGGCTGATGTTGAAAATAGTGAAACTTTGATTCATATTTTGGACATTTTTTCTACCGCCACTAGCCTCTACATTAATTATAACAAGAGCTATATTATTCTTCCTCCTAATTACCTCAATGTAAATGCCATTTGTTCTACTCTTAAAATATATGTTCCCTTCAAGTGCATTACATATTTGGGTATTCCAATATCTGCTTACAATATTAAATTAGCAAATTTTTCTGATTTGATGGAAGTTATATGTCATAAATTATCTGGTTGGAAAGCTAAAAGCATGTCCTTTGCTGGTCGATTACAGTACCTTCGCTTCACTATATGGAACTCCATCGCCTACTGGATTAGAGGATCGATTATACCAAAATCTATTATGAAACAAATTGATAAACTTTGTGTCGAGTTTCTCTACTTTAGTGACACAACCATTAAGAAATTGCATATATCTCTTGGTAAAATACCTACAAACCAAAACAACATGGTGGTCTTGGTCTCCCCTCTTTACATGCTCTTCATTTCATCTATAACTGTACTCTTATAATCAGGATTTATAATAGCAAGACTCTCCCCTCCAATTGGTTTTTGTCTAGATATATTTCCCCATGGAAGTACCCCATAATCAAAAGTCACTTCTTTTTGGAAGTTTCTTTTTAAGCATATGGGTATTACTAGAGAAATGTCCAGCTTCAATGTTTTTTATAATTTTCCTATTTCTCTTTATTGGGATCATTGGATTGGGGTAACAGATTGGAAGAGGTGCAGGATTTATTGCTCCTGCAAGGTATTTTTCCTCTTAATGCTTCAATTGAGGTTTTATTAAAAGCTAATGGGTGGTTGATTCCTTTTCAAAACTCTGCTATTCTTGCCATTTTGAACAATTTACCTATCATAACTCGAGCTGCCTTTTCTAGAAAGATGGTAATGTATTGGGTCTCTTTACAAGCACCTTCCCTTGGTTAATTGGGATCACTTTGTTTTGAACAAAAGACATGCTTTACCCTTCTCTACCTTTTGTTGGATTGCGCTTTCTAACGGCCTAAAAACCGCGGACAATCTCGTTCTCAGAGGGATTTCTATTAATCCGCAATGTATTTTGTGTAATTTATGTGCCAAATCTAAAGTTCATTTATTTTTTGAGTGTGACTTCACTTTTGCTATCATCCTTAAAAGCCACCTGCTTAGGCCAAATTTATACCAAGTTTTTGATAGCATTTCTGGGATTAATGGTAAGATTCGTCCATTCTATTACATCATGGCTTGTTGCTATGTTTATATGATTTAGAAAGAAAGAAATGAGAGGAAATTTGGGAATTCTCAAGCATCAATTATCACGATTTGTCATATGATTCGTAAGGTTGTTTTCACTAAAATCACAAAATAGAGGAATTGTCATCTGCTCTTTGCATTGTTGTAGTGCAACTGTTGGATTTTGGTTGGACCGCTAGGCATATCGTGGCTGTTAAAGAATAGTTTTGCTGCCTTAATCTTACATGTTTGGCTGGAGGGGCTCTGTTTTGGAGGGCAATGATGTTCAAATTGCCTCCCTTCCCCTTGGATGATAATTTTTCTGTCCGACTTCATAGCTACTTAATTTGTTGCAACTAGGGGAGTGGTTTACCTGCGGCAATTCTTTTGGGTGAGCTCGTCTAAACTTTAGGTTAGCTTGTTTTAATTGTCTTTTAAGATCATATGTTTTTTTTTTTAATTTGTAGGTGTTTACAAATACTCTTCTAGCCTCATTTTTTGACTTTTTTTTTTTTTGTTTTTTTTTTATACATGTAAGTTGTAACTAGTTCCTAATTAATGAAAAGGACATTGCCCACAATTTTTTCCAAAAAAAATCACATTATTTTGAACTACATCCAAATCTCCACAGATTTTTAATTATTAAACGGCATATAAAATAAGAGTTGCCCCGCTCTGCCCGCGAGTCAGCAGCAAACCATAACAGGAAACGGGATTACTGACAGATCCATTAGGATAACAAGCCGGCCCACTTGGTCAAACACGATCACGAACCGTCCACGTCATGTCCCCCTCAAAGATCCAATGGCACACCTCGATCTTCCCCGGCCCGGGCCCCAGCGCAACAAAGGCCCCGTGCGTAGGGCTCCAATCCGACGTGTCAATATGACAGATGGCAGTACCATGATTGATCTTCTCCCCGCTATCAACGGCCAGGATTTCAGCCTCGTAAACGCGCACACGTGGGACAGAATGGCAATAATAGACCAGGTACGGGAACAAGCTTTGGTGACAGCTCACTGATTGGGTAACGTTACCTCCATTTAATCCCTTCACGTCACCGATGAGGATATTCCCCTGAGAGCCGTTCGTGTTCGCGGTGGATCTTACTTCGACGTCGCTGCCGAGCACGGAGACGGCGAAGTCGATCATGTCCTCGGCGGAAGTTGCACACCGCTTTGTCTCCCCGCGGCTCGGCGAACGCTCGCAGTCCGCCACCGTTGAAGCCACTGCCTTCTCCATGGTGGTTCCCGGAGGAAACTTGAAGATTTCCGATACAGCGGAGGCTGATAACGGGATGTTTCCGGCGATCGAACGAGGAAGGAACGAACGCGGCGGAGTCCGGTCGTGAATATCCGGCATCGGCATTACCGTCCCCTTTTTGAGGCTGCTTTCCCTGAAGAACTTACCAGGATCGACCCACTGTTTTAACCCGGGATGCTTCGACGCCGTGTGGATTTGGGCGGTGGAGGAATTATGGTAAGATTTGAAATCGATCCCTGTTTTGGCGTAGGATTTGAATGTTGTGTTATCCTCGAAGTAGGATTTGAATGTGATTTGACCATTAGTGGAACCCTCGCCATAACCCTTAAAGGCATCGGAGCCGGAACTTTCATTACCATAATTAGTGAATTCTACTGAGCCGTAGTTGGCGTCTTTATGATAGGAAGCAAAGGAATCATCGCCGATGTTGGATTGTTCGCGGTAGGTGTTGAATTTCTCGATTCCGGCCAACGAGCCGGAGCCGTACGATCGGAAATGATTGTCGGGGATGTTGGAATTTTCGGAATAGGATTTGAAGATATCTGTGACACTACCATTTTCGCCGTAATTGGAGAAACCACTTTCGATTATATTGGAATATTTATTGGCATAAGAGTTGAAGTCCAATGTTGCACCTTCTCCGCGCTTTCCGTAACCGGAGAAGAGTTGCTGACCAACGTTGGAATCGTCAGAGTAATGTTTGAATTTTTCTTGAGTTCCGGTGCCTTCGGTGGCGTAGTTGTTGAATCCTAGAACAGGGATGTTCGAGGAATTGCTATATGAGTTGAATTTATCGAGTGATCCGGCCGAACTAGTTCCATATGAAGTGAAGTTAGCGCCAACGATGTTGCCTCTGGGGCCGTAGGCGGCGAAGGTGTCGTTGTGGCCGCCGGAGCTGTGACCGTAGCGGCGGAATGTACTTAAGGGCGTCTCATTCCCGAAGTAATTTTTGAAGGCAGAGACCCGACCGCCGGCTTCGGTGCCGTAGTTGGTAAAATTACTGTTGTCGTAGGTAGAGAAGGCAGAGTCGCCGGGATGGGAAGCGAGGGATGGAGTTAGTTCGGCGGTGCAGAGGAGGGCGGCGGCGGAACAGAATGTCGGGAGGGTGGAAGAGAGTTTGAAGGGGTCGGACGCAGCAATAGTGGAGAACTTGGCGGCGTTGGAGATGGAGAGGGGCGTGAGCTTGGAGACGAGGAACGCTGGGTAGGGAGAAGAGTTGGGGATTTTTCGGTTCCAGTAACGAAGCAGTGCAGCCTTTTCGGTGAATGGGTTTAATGATGATTTCGCCGGCGCCGGCGAGGTTGCGGCCGCGGAGAGCGAGATCGAGATGAGTATGAGGAGTAACGTAAACCAGTCCATTGTCTTGCACTGGTCTTTGAGGATAGATCACGGCGTCGAGTAGAGGATTTTAAAGAGTGATGATAAGGCAACTGTTTAACTATGATTTTATATTTAAATTTATACAAAAGTTTGTTTGTTATAAATGAATCGATTGAGTGCAGAAGATGAAAAATTTATTATAGTTTCAAGTTAAGCACATGGGCGGCTTGGATCAAGCTCAAGAGCTCAGCTGGACGACAAAGACAGCGGATGGGCGATGGGCCAAACTGATGAGCTCGACAGGAAGGTGTATAGTAGAGCTTTTTGCGTCCGGATGGTGCAATGATTTGCATTACATAATTTGTTTAATAAAAGCTTCGTTTGGATGGATCTATTATTGTTTTTCATATGAAGCCAAAGTATATATTAATTTATTAAGTAAACAAAATAATGATTTGAGTAAACAAATAATATTGATTGTAATGATTAAGTTATGTGATTGCAGTGCAAAAATAAGATACCTTGGTTATTGTCAAAAGTTGTGTGGGAGACTTATCCAAAGGTAATTGCAACATAAAGCTTGTTAGAGATTGTGGCAGGGTCTCACAATGATGTAGGTATTGGTGTAGCAATGATAGTGATGTGAATGGAATCTATGATGATTAGGAGAACAACGAACATGTTGATGTAGGAGCTAATTTAGGTGATATGAAAGATGAGAAAATGACTCTCTAGAGAATCTATGATATTATTGGGAGATTCTTGAGCTAGAAGTTGTATTATTGAGAGAAATTGGGCCAGCAGGTAGCTTGTTGTCCTCATTTTCAGCTTAGGTAAGTGAGATCTAAACTCTTGAAACTCGCTTTAAGCTAACACTATATCATTATAGTGTTACATGATTTCATTGAGCAGTAAGAAACCTAGCTCTAGGTTTCCTACCTTGGCTTGTTAGTTTCCACTCATTCCTGCTCAATTATGTATCCAAATCAATCTTTTTATTTTAATCTTTTTATACCTTGGCTTGGTAGTGTATTTAAACATCCTTAAACCAGTCTGAACCCTAAAGCATGCTTTGGTTGGCCCAAGAATCAAAGTAAAATCATGATCTACATTATGTCTGCCAATTAGACAACATCATACCTAACATTGACCTATTGACTTCAAATCTTACCTGAACCCTCACCTTAGGAGCTTCATATATTGTACTCACTAATCCTATCTTCTTATGCTAGGGGTTGACCCTTTCAAGATTCTTGGATTAGATCAAACTAGCTCAATAGGTCAAAACCTAACATTAACCCTTTATAGCCTATTTCACTTCACTTAACCTCACTCAATTGAACTTATCAAAGCTCCTAAAGTGTCACATTCATTTGGTCCACAACCCTGAGTCAAATGTTGACTTGGTTAACTTAACACAAAATTGGTCAACCAGTTTAGTTTGAGTCAAACCCTTGCATATAAGTAACTAACATGCCCCCATTGCTCAAGTTCAACTCAATTCACCTCCTAAATATTTATAGACCTTAACCAAGTCGACTCATGGTGAGTGGACTTGGTCAACCAACATGAAGTGATCAACCATATGCTAGGTTTGGTCTCATGTTTATAAACATTAAATCCATTGAACTAAGCCTCTTAAACTAGATAAAAAATGCTCATATGGTCAAACCTCCCTAGACTCTTCATTTTGCTCAAACCCAGCTAGTTTGATTTGCCATAATGAGTATCTAAAAGCTTCTTGCATATCCCTGAACCCAGACCATGGCTTGAGCTAGCTCGGACCCAGCCTCAAAGGTTTCCACCATTGAAACCAACCCATGATCACTTTCTTTATTGGCCACTCCCTGATCCCACACTTTTCTTCCTAACCATTTAATCCACCTAGAAAACATCCAGCCACTCAACACATGCCGATTAGGTATTTATTTTAAATTAAATATTAAATGGATTTAATCATCATAGCTTTGGAAATTCATATTAAATCATTCACTGGAGCCAAAATTTGCATTCCAGGGCTCCATGAATTTAGGAAATATAGCTTTATCCTTTAAAAATGAAAGCTAATGGATATGTTGAGTAAATACCAAATAATTTAGATTTAAAAGCTTAAATTTTTTAATTAATATGCCATATACACTTAACCATTTGTGTTGAAATTTAGCTCGGGAATATTAGGGGATGTCCTCTACTTCCCATAATTTTTTAGGCTTGTTTAAGCCCTCATTGTCCTGACTATATTTTTCAAATGCATTGGTCAAAATTTGACCTAAATATTTGGAAAATTATTGTGAATAATCCATAGAGCATTAGGCCCTTTGCTTGATGTGATTTTTACGTTTTAATCCAAGGGTTAAACACACTTGATTTCAATTCCAATGAACACTAAAGACATTTAGGTAAATCAACTTTGGTCGAGGGTTTCAAAACTTAGAAATTTTTTAAAAGAAATCATCTTTAAGTCTAATAGGAATGAAACTCAAACCTAGTGAACTTATTGACATTTTAAACCCCATGAAATAATTAGTTTTAAAATAGGAGTCATTATGGCACTTAATTCACAAACCCTAATTTTGAACTTGAAACTTATAAAATGCATAAATAATTAATTAATTAACTTTTTTTGTGACATTGCTCAACCTGTCACATATTCTGATTAAGTTGAATAATGATATGAATTATAACAGTGTTTGGTCATAGATCTTATTTTGTCAATAATTAATATATTAAATTAACCTAATGGACTCCCTTACTAGATATTGGTGTTAAATCTTATGTTATTCCAATTTGGATATCATTCCCAAACTTAAGACCTCGCCTCTTCTCTCCCTACATCCTCCATGCTCTCAGTTTATTATTTGGGCCTTTGTTGAAGGTTGACAATGCCATCTCCATTGAGTATGACCCATCTGTGGTACGGGTTTTTATTAGGCTTGATATTACAAAAAAATATCTTGATAAAGTGTGGCTTGATCCAGAAAAGTTTGGGCTTATTTAGCTGGTCGACATGGAGGAATTTCCTCACTTTTGTGGTTATTGTAAATGTATTGGACATGTTATGGGGGATTGCAATCTTGTTATTAAGTCTAATCACCTCACAACTGATGGGAAAATAACTGGTGGTCTGGAAAATGCTAATATTGTTGGTGTAAATTGTCATGTTACGCCTATTAATGAGGTGCTCATTAATTGGGGCAATGATGTAGTTTATGTTATAGAGGTGGAGGCTATTGGGGCAATTATTGGTCCTGCCGACGAGGATGGGTCGGTTGTTGGTCCTATCGAGGAGGATGTTTTGTCGTCGTCTTTTTCTATTAAGCTTATGGATGATTCTTGTGCTAACAATGAGAGTGTTTTGGTTGTAATGGGAGCTGAGGCTTATATGACTAATACTATTGCTTCTCCTATTGTATCTCCCATTTATAATTTGGATTCCTTAGAAATTTTGGACTGTGATGCTTCCCGTCCCTTTGATGGGTTAGTTTTTGTTGTGCCGCAAGAGAATAAAGATGCTAGTTTTGGTTGGATGTTAATGTTGTGAATATGGGTCAAAGTACTGTAAGTTTGATAATGACAAATATTATTATTTCCTTATTATTACTAGTATTGCATATATGTTTTGTTTGCCTTACTAACATTTCAAGTTCATAAGTTCAATTGTAATGTAAATCAGCTCAAGATTGGACAGACTAGGGTTGAGTATGGCTGTAATTTTAAATTTAATATACTTTTTATCTTTCTTGAGTCAAGTCTTGTATCTGGTGTACCCCAAGCGTAGTAACCTTACACACACACACACAAGAGGGTGAGTTAGTGGATTGGATTTAATCATCATAGCTTTGGAAATTCATATTAAATCATTCACTGGAGCCAAAATTTGCATTCCAGGGCTCCATGAATTTAGGAAATATAGCTTTATCCTTTTAAAATGAAAGCTAATGGATATGTTGAGTAAATACCAAATAATTTAGATTTAAAAGCTTAAAATTTTTAATTAAGATGCCATATACAATTAACCATTTGTGTTGAAATTTAGCTCGGGAATATTAGGGGATGTCCTCTACTTCCCATAATTTTTTAGGCTTGTTTAAGCCCTCATTGTCCTGACTATATTTTTCAAATGCATTGGTCAAAATTTGACCTAAATATTTGGAAAATTACTGTGAATAATCCATAGAGCATTAGTCCCTTTGCTTGACGTGATTTTTATGTTTTAGTCCTAAGGGTTAAACACATTTGATTTCAATTCCAATGAACACTAAAGACATTTAGGTAAATCAACTTTGGTCGAGGGTTTCAAAACTTAGAAATTTTTTAAAAGAAATCATCTTAAGTCTAATAGGAATGAAACTCAAACCTAGTGAACTTATCGACATTTTAAACCCCATGAAATAATTAGCTTTAAATAGGAGTCATTATGGCACTTAATTCACAAACCCTAATTTTGAGCTTGAAACTTATAAAATGCATAAGTAATTAATTAATTAACTTTTTTGTGACATTGCTCAACCTGTCACATATTCTGATTAAATTGAATAATGATATGAATTACAGCAGTGTTTGGTCATAGATCTTTTTTTGTCAATAATTAATATATTAAATTAACCAAATGGACTCCCTTACTAGATATTGGTGTTAAATCTTCTGTTATTCCAATTTGGATATCATTCCCAAACTTAAGACCTCGCCTCTTCTCTCCCTATATCCTCCATGCTCTCCGTTCATTATTTGGGCCTTTGTTGAAGGTTGAAAATGCCATCTCCATTGAGTCTCACCCATCTGTGGTACGGGTTTTGATTAGCTTGATAGTAATACTGCATATGAGTAAATTCTATGATGAAAAATTTATTTATTCATCGAAGTAGTAGGCTTTGAGCCCCATCAGATAATATAATGATATATTTGAGCAATTAAGAATTATTTTTGCATCAATTGTGTTTGCTAACATAAGAGAAATAAAGTAATAAATATAGCTTTTAACAAATAAATGTTTTCACAATTTATTAAAGGTAAAATAGTTCTAAATGTGTAGTTCTTCCTTTACACATCGAGTCTCCATTATTTTCACCTTAATAACTTGACCAAAAAAATGTTTTCACATTCATGGTTTGTATTAAATTGGTTCAAAGTTAATTTTTTCTAACAAATTAAGAAGAGATGTAAGCTAGTCTTTTCTTGCATTCTGTGTATGAACATAAAATAAAGACATTATAGTTACATATCAAATTTTAGTGAAGTGCAAATTCTCAAAATTGGTCTTTTAAACTATTATATGACCATGGGTCCAAGGTGGGGTTCAACCTGCCCGGTCAGGTCGCGAGATCAAGGGGCAGCACTCCTATAAGGGTTTCTAGGGGCAGCAACCCCGAAACAAATTTTTGTTGTAAGAGTATTTTTGATTCATCGAACAAATTTCTTACATTGCTACAACACAACATAATGATAAGAGCATAAATATCAACACTACAAATCTGACATAACCAAAATCAAAGAACCCTAGATCAACAAAAATCAAAGAACAAAAATCAATATCGACGGTGGAAATCAAATAAAAAAATGAAGATAACAAAAATCAAACCAACGTCCGGATATACTTCAAGATCGGCGGATTATTACCTCTTTCAGCAACGTACAAATAGTCGGCCTGGTCGATCGGTCAAAAATGGCGAGAACCTAAAGAACCTCAGAAATCAGAAGCGGAAAGCATACAATTTTATTGAACCATAAATAGTGGCTACTCCACATTCAAAAGATTAATGCCTGTGATTAAAACCATTTTACCTGATGTCGTGGTCGCGATTGTTAGCGGTAACGACGATCAACGAGAATTAGCAATGGAAAATGAAGAGAACGTGCATTAGCAATGGTAAACAAAGAGAATGTGCAAGCATTCGGTGAATGAAGCAAACAATTGATATGAGAAAGATGAAAGCACAAGAAAAAATTGGCAAGATAACTTATCCCACGATCTCTAGCGCCAAATCCTCTATTAATTAGCGTGAAAAGAGAATATGCCCTAATGACTATTTGTAAAGGCACTTAAATAAAAATGTCTCAATATATATGCCCTTAAAAGTTATTTTTTTTTGTAGTGCTTGTCCAAATTTTTGTGCATAGGAAGTAGCATTAGAATAAGGCGAGCGAGATTATTCCTTCTATAAGGTTTGGGATGAGATGCAGGTGCATGAGATAGAGTAGGAGGTGTAGGAAGATGTGGATCAAGTATTAAAGGGACTAAATCTTTGTCATTATGATTACTAAAAAGAGATCGAGAAGGCTTTGGATAATCCTTCTTATTCTACCAATGTACTTGTAGTAGAAGAAGTTAAGAAGGCAGAGAGTTTAGTTAATCTATTGCAATTATATATATATATATATATATTATATATATATATATATATATATGGTGTAGAATATTAGAGTTTACAAGGACCTAGAAGAACAAAAAATATTTGAATATGAATTTTACATATCCAATAAGAAAGAGGCATATAAGCCCATGGACTTATGTGCCATTGATCCCATCAGCCTAATTGATGACAAACAATTGATCTCTTTTAAGTTTGGAATGTCAAAACTAGTTGATAACTCTAAGGAAAAGAAAATTTATTTGGTGCAAACATTGGACATTGCTCTACATTTGGATGACAATAAAATGACGCCACGTAGCTCCCCAACGACCCGAGGACCCGACCTGATGAAAACTCAAAATTTAGCACATTCTTTTCCAAATAATCAAGTGGCCATACAACCCAACCCGGATCGGACGCAAAAATTTACTTTTTACTAAAAAGAGACCTGGGCCACTACCAAAAATTCAAAGTCAAGGCTTTTTAGTTTCTCTTGTCTCAGGTACTATTTATCATTGTCTCAAGCTCCTTTGTTTGCTCATCACTATTGTTGCAGAAGGCATGCCTAAGGTCCATATTTTGTTGTGATGATAGATGTACTTTTTCCACCAGAACTATTGGTTATATTTTCATGTAAAAAATTCTGTAAATCAAATGTTTATGTTTAGGGTTTTAAACTTTTAATTGCTGCAATAAAAAAGTTTTCTCACATATTCATATTACAAAATCTATGTTGGAAATAAGATTTTTATGCTCAATACCATTGTGTACCGAGCAAAGGTACACATGTATGCAAAGGTTTGAAATATTGCTAAATCTTTCTAACATATGCTTATTAAAGATTCTATGCGGGTTTCGAACATAATTTTCTCCTTAATATCAATTCAATATTTATAATGATGAACTCTCATTACCGATGCTCGGTATCAAGCAGTACCGAACTGCTTGGTACCGAAATTCGGTACCGCTTGATACCTCTCGACTGCGCTATGTACCATGTTTGGTACCTCTTAGTATCATCCAAACTCCATCTTCAGTCACTACAATTCTAATCATAGATGGAAACCTGGTTCTGGTGTTTTATTTATGATATTTTGATTTATAATATAGGTAAATGCCCTTCTTGAATTCATCTTTCGAACAGACAAAGTCTTTCAATTTTAATTTTCTCGAATTAGGCCAGTAACAATGATGTTCTTTCCTTACACTAAAATCAAGATTATGAGCATAATCGCAATACATATCATATACTTCATTCTCAGAGTTATGAACTCCCTATGCACAAGAAAAACATATTTAACATTTTGGTATAAATGTGGTAGTACAAAAAAATCAGTGGTACACAGTAAAATTGATTCACGGTATCGCTTCTTGGTACCGGGAAGCGGTACGAGGAAGCTAAAATTCCTATGTTCTTGATATAAACATGGAAGAACACAAAAAATCAACGGTGCATAATGGAACCGATTTGCAGAAGCGGCGATACCGAGAAGCGATACTGCTCAATACTGAGAAGGGGTACCGAGAAGCGATTCCCAGAAGCTTCAGACATAAGAAGTAGACAGAGCTACACAGTAACGACACACATAAGAGGTACATGCATCGTTACATTCTCAAATAATAAATTATAAAACCTCTTCATAGTAAAAAAACGTACTGATAATATCCAGACTTATCTCCCGTAATTCGTTACAGTAAGTCTTCCTGAACATTTTGGGTCGCTTCCATCTTCTAACACGATTCAACGTCATCTAAAGAGATTTACAACTTCATATCATCTTCCTCTTAGTTCTTTCTCAGCTTTCTTATCTGGAGAAAGCCTATCCTATGTGATAAAAATAGTCCACCAATGTCATAAAACCTCAAAAAAGGAGCTTTTCTTTTGAATTTTCGCATTCAATCCGGGTCAAGTCATCGGGCCGCGTGGTTATTTCAAAAAATCACGTGCTAAATTTCAATTTTTCATCGAGTTGGGTCCTCGGTTCGTCGAGGCGCTATGTGGCGTCATTTTATTAGTGTCCAGATCTAGAGCCACGTCCAGTGTCTGCACCAAATAATTTTTCCTAAGGAGAAGGATATAAAAGTGGTCAGTAGAAACACAATATGGATTTTGTAGTTGAATGATCCCACAACATGGTTAAATACTGACGCAAAAAATCTTTTAATTCATTAGAAGTATGGTTCTACCATTTGAAGATTTTTTATACTAACTTCGGTTTAAATTTTTTTGTAGCAAACTAATTATTCATGTTAATAATGAAGCGAATTTTAAGCTACCCAAAATTTATGGATCTAACATAATTGTGTTGTTAATTATTTGATTGGTATTATATATCAAAATTCTCACTTTCCACAAGGTGGAAAAAAAAAACAAAAGATTACTTCAAGTAGCCTAATTTGGTACTCATATTCAATTGAAGGAAAGTTTATTAAAGGTTTGTCTGAGACAGTTTTCTTATCGCTTTTTAAAACAATTTTTTAGTAAAAAATTAAATTTTTATACTAAAAAGCTACTTTAAGAAGCAGTAAGAAAACCGGTCAACACAAAATCTAAATCATAGTTTAATACATAACTTATATTTTCAGCAAATTGGATCAATGTTTATTGGATTACATGTGATATTTCATTGCCTATGATTTTTATGTGGCTGTATAATTGTGACCCCTCTTGTAGCTAAATAGCAAATCTTGCATGGAACTATAATTATATTCTCTAAACTCTAAAAGTCAAGCAGTTAAGATTATTTGATTGAAGATAGAAAAATTCTCCTCCAAATTTCCTTAAATGTAGAGGAGAACCGTCAAGTGAAGAAAAATTATTCCGTCAGGTTATCTGACGTAGAGCTACATCAGGTAGCTTATAATATGTCGCCACGTGCACTTACTCTTTATCGCGCGGACCGAATCCGGGATTACTATGTTCGCGTATTGCTCGGTATTTGCTCGGTATTGCTAGGTATTACTCGGTATTGCTTGACAATAACAAGAAATACCGCTATGTGAAGAACAATACCGAGCAATACCGAGCAATACCGAGTAATACCTAAAAGAACTCGGTATTGCTTGGTATTGCTCTTCACATAATAGTATTTTTCATTTTTGTCGAGCAAAATCGACCAATACCTAGCAATGTTAGAGAATATAGTGAGATTTGGGAGCGAGACAGAACAGAGTAACAAGAGAAAGAATGCTGTAGAAATATTATTAATGTCTATCTAGAGAATTATTACAATTGTGTATATGTAGTGTGAGGTGATACAGAGAGCCGTGAGTTTACAAATGTGGGACTAAGATATATATATATTGTGCTTACATTCCCCCTCAAATTATGCATTCGGTGGGCGAATGGATAATTTGGAGCAGAGATATTCAAACCGTGAGCTGGAGAACGGTTTAGTCAAGATGTCGGCTATCTGTTCGTGAGACGAGATGTGTTGTATGTTTATGTTCCCGGTGTATATTTGTTGGCGAATGAACTGGAAATCGATCTCAATGAGCTTTGTACGGGCGTGAAAAACTGAATTCTTGGCGATGGCTATGGCAGAGATGTTGTCGCAGTGTATGGTAGTCGGCGAAGTTTGAGGCATTTGAAGTTTTTCCGCAAGACGCCGAAGCCAGAGAACTTCGGAATTGGCGGCGGACAGCGCTCGATACTCTGCCTCGGTGGAGGATTTTGCTACTGTGACATGCTTCTTGACCGACCAGGATATGAGATTTGGCCCCATGAAAGTACAGAACCCGGAGACAGATTTGCGGTCGGTGATGTCGGATGCCCAGTCGGCGTCAGTGTAGGTGCGGAGAGTGGTGTCGCCGGTCATGATCGGAAGACCGTAGGAGATGGTCCCTTTGACGTAGCGAAGTATTCGTTTTAGTTGCTGGAAGTTACGGTCGGTGGGACGTTGCATGTTTTGACACACCTGATTTGTGGCGAATGCTATGTCCGGCCGTGTAATTGATAGGTACTGTAACGATCCTGCGAGTCGGCGATACAGGAAAGTGTCATGGAACGGTTTGTTGTTGTCCGTTAGATGCTTGGATGTTGGAGTGATTGGTGTGATGGCGGATTTGCAGCTGGAAAGGCCAGCTTCAAGTAGCAGATTCTGTGCATAATGACCCTGGATGAGAAAGAAACCATTGTGAGAGCGGGTAATTTGTATGCCTAAGAACAGACAAATTTGACCCAGTTGTTTTAAAGCGAACTGGGATTTGAGATCGCAAAGAAGAAGCTGAATTTGCGATTGATCATTTCCTGTTACAATGATGTCATCAACGTATATTAGGAGGTAAATTTGAATATGTAATTTGGTGTAGATTAGTAGAGATGGATCGGAACGACTAAACCTGAACCCACGAGCTTGAAGAGCGGTTGTAAGTTTCTGAAACCACTGACGGGGAGCCTGCTTGAGACCGTAGAGTGATTTGTGTAAGTGGCAGACAGCGTCCGGATGATTGGAGTCTTCAAAGCCGGGAGGTTGACGCATGTAGACTTTGTCCGGGAGGTCGCTGTGGAGAAAGGCGTTTGATACGTCTAGTTGGAGCATAGGTCAGTTTCGGTTGATAGCTAGATTGAGAAGAAGACGTATAGTGACCATTTTGGCAACATGACTGAAAGTTTCGCTGTAGTTTTGTCCAAAGGTTTGAGTGTAGCCGAGGGCGACCAGTCTAGCCTTGTAACGATCAATTTGTCCATTCGGAAGTTGTTTGATCTTATAAGTCCATTTGCTGCCGATGATGGGTTTGTTGTCAGGTTTGGGTACAAGTGACCAGGTACCCTGTTTAATAAGCGCCTGATATTCTGAGTTCATAGCGTCCCGCCAGACTTCATGTTTGGCAGCTTATTTATATGTTGTTGGTACAGGTTGTGGTTCAGATTGGCTAAGGAGAGAGATGATGTGTCGAGGTTTTGTAATCCCTGATTTTGATCTCGTTTGCATGTGATGAGTTGGAGGTGCTGTTGTGGTAACAGTTGCGGGAGATGGCTGTAGCGTGTTGACGGGAGGTCTGATTGCAAGGGGCTTGGGAGGAGGGTCTGTAGTAGCGGGAGCTGTTTTATAAATGTTACCTGTTGTTGTTGACGTTGGTACGAGATGTAACGGCGGAAGGTTAGGATCGGGAATTGGATTGTTATATGTGTTTGTTGAATCAGTTCTCTGAAGGGGGAAGATGTTCTCTTGAAATTGAACATGTCTTGATATGTGAACCTTGTTGGTAGTGAGATTAAAGCATTTGTACCCCTTATGTTGCGGTGAGTATCCCAGAAAGAGACATTGTTGAGACCGAGGTTCGAATTTGTTATGCGTGTATGGCTGCAGCCAAGGGTAGCAGAGGCAACCGAATGTTCGTAAATGCGTGTAGTCTGGTTTTTTGTTGAAGAGCAGTTGATATGGAGATCGGAGGGCTAACGGTTTGCATGGTAACCTGTTGATAAGGTAATTAGCAGTGGAAATAGCGTCTAACCAGAATTTGTCCGGAAGATTGGATGTGTGGAGCAGAGTTCTGGTTAGATCAAGGAGATGCCGATATTTACGTTCGGCGAGGCCGTTCTGTTCCGGGGTATGGGGACAGCTTAGCTGATGTATAATGCCGTGGTCGTTAAGTAGTGAGCTGAACGCTGTACTAATGAATTCGCCTCCGCCATCGGAGCGAAAATGCTTTGGGGTGCTAGATAATTGGTTGCCTATTAGACTGAGAAAATTTTGAAAACAATTAAGTGTTTCATGTTTAGAATTCATGAAATATAACCAGCTGAATCGTGTGAAGTCATCAATAAACACAATGTAATAACGAAAATTGGTAGTTCCGGATTGAGGTACCGGCCCCCATACATCCGAATGGATGATATCAAACGGTTTTGTGCTCTCAGAAAGTCTTTTATTGAATTTTTGTTTGTGGCTTTTGGTAAATCGTGGAGTTCTGGAGGGCAGTACCGTCCGCTGTCATGTGAGCGGTGGCACCGGAGTCCATGATCCACGTCTTGATCCCCCATCCTAAAGCTCTGATACCATGTTAGAGAATATAGTGAGATTTGGGAGAGAGACAGAGAACAGAGTAACAAGAGAAAGAATGCTGTAGAAATATTATTAATGTCTATCTAGAGAATTATTACAATTGTGTATATGTAGTGTGAGGTGGAAGCTAAAATTCCTATGTTCTTGATATAAACATGGAAGAACACAAAAATCAACGGTGCACAATGGAACCGATTTGCACAACCGCTTCTCGATACTGAGAAGTGATACTGCTCAATACCGAGAAGGGGTACCGAGAAGCGGTTCCCAGAAGCTTCACACATAAGAAGTAGACAGAGCTACACAGTAACGACACACATAAGAGGTACACGCATAGTTACATTCTCAAATAATAAATTATAAAACCTCTTCATAGTTAAAAACTTACTGATAATATCCAGACTTATCTCCCGTAATTCGTTACAGTAAGTCTTCCTGAACATTTTGGGTCGCTTCCATCTTCTAACACGATTCAACGTCATCTAAAGAGATTTACAACTTCATATCATCTTCCTCTTAGTTCTTTCTCAGCTTTCTTATCTGGAGAAAGCCTATCCTATGTGATAAAAATAGTCCGCCAAAGTCATAAAACCTCAAAAAAGGCGCTTTTCTTTTGAATTTTCACATTCGATCCGGGTCAAGTCATCGGGCCGCGTGGTTATTTGAAAAATCACGTGCTAAATTTCAATTTTTCATCGAGTTGGGTCCTCGGGTCGTCGGGGCGCTACGTGGCGTCGTTTTATTAGTGTCCAGATCTAGAGCCACATCCAGTGTCTGCACCAAATAATTTTTCCTAATTAGAAGGATATAAAAGTGGTCAGTAGAAACACAATATGGATTTTGTAGTTGAATGATCCCACAACATGGTTAAATACTGACGCAAAAAATCTTTTAATTCATTAGAAGTATGGTTCTACCATTTGAAGATTTTTTATACTAACTTCGGTTTATATTTTTTTGTAGCACATTAATTATTTATGTTTATAATGAAGCGAATTTTAAGCTACCCAAAATTTATGGATCTAACATAATTGTGTTGTTAATTATTTGATTAGTATTATATATCAAAATTCTCCACTTTCCACAAGGTGGAAAAAATAAAAATAAAAGATTACTTCGAGTAGCCTAATTTGGTACTCATATACAATTGAAGAGAAGTTTATTAAAGTTTTGTCTGAGACAATTTTCTTATTGCTTTTTAAAATAACTTTTTAGTACAAAAATTAAATTTTTGTACTAAAAAACTACTTTAAAAAGTAGTAAGAAAACCGTTCAATACAAAATCTAAATCATAGTTTAATACATAACTTATATTTTCAGCAAATTGGATCAAAGTTTATTGGATTACATGTGATATTTCATTACCTATGATTTTTATGTGGCTGTATAATTGGAATAATTATTACGTCCTCCGATCGGACGTAGAGGAACGTCCGGTCGGAGACCAAATCACGCCAAAAAATGAGAAATACTGAGCAATATCAAACAATAACGAGGAATACCATCATGTGAAGACTCAATACCGAGTTATACCGAGTAATACTGAGTTATACAAAAGTTTACCATGTTTTTCCTAGAAAAAACTCGGTACAACTCGGTATTGCTCGGTATAACTCGGTATTGGTCTTCACAGAGCGGTATTCCTCATTATTATCAAATAATATCTAGCAATACCGAGCAAATACTGAGTTTTTTGGCGGGATTTTGCCTCCAACCGGACGTTCCTCTACGTCCTTACACTGGACCTAATAAAAGTTCGTATAATTGTGACCCCTCTTGTAGCTAAATAGCAAATCTTGCATGGAACTATAATTATATTCTCTAAACTCTAAAAGTCAAGCAGTTAAGATTATTAGATTGAAGATAGAAAAGTTTCTCCTCCAAATTTCCTTAAATGTAGAGGAGAACCGTCAAATGAGGTCCCTAAGCCATCATCGATCACAAGTGAGAAAATTTTAATCAAAATAAAAGTTTTGGATTTTTTTTTAAAATAACTGTCATATTTATCTAAATTTTTTATTATTATGGGGCATATAAAGCATATATTATTATTGTTATTTTTTATTATTTTGTTCTTAAAATAGCAAGTATTCGGTATTCCTGAAAATTAAGTTCACCAAAAGAAGTTTTTTTTACGTTGAGTATTGAAGCAGAAATAAACAAATAAATGGAGAAAAGGCAAATTTATAAAAAGTAGCCTACTTTTCACGTAATTAAGCGCTAGAAGGACGGTGAACCAAAAATGTAAATAGGAGCCAACACGGGAACAATTATTACGTCCTCCGACCGGACGTAGAGGAACGACCCTCTATGTCCGGTCGGAGGCCAAGTCGCGCTAAAAAATGAGAAATACCGAGCAAATACCGAGCAATACCAAACAATAACAAGGAATACCAGTTCTTAAAATAGCAAGTATTCGGTATTCCTGAAAATTAAGTTCACCAAAAGAAGTTTTTTTTACGTTGAGTATTGAAGCAGAAATAAACAAATAAATGGAGAAAAGGCAAATTTATAAAAATCAAGAGAAGTGAGTTCCTGTTTCTATAGAAGCTGGACATCTGAATTTCACATTCCTTATTGATTTTTTTCTGCGTATTTGTCCGCTAAATAATGGTATTAAATTTTGATAGAAGACAAGATTTAATAAAAAATTTTACAATTTATTATTAAACAAACTAGCTTCAAATGAAGTTGGGTAAAAAAATTTGTTTAGTGAGTATAAAGTTTTTATTTACTAGTTCATTGTTAAAAAGATTAATTTAAGTGAAATAGTTGTTAATAAATTTTTAACTTATTTTTTTTTTAAACCCCAATAAAAGGGGGATACGCGTTAAAGATGAAAATGGATTACAAAATTGACATGGGAGTCATCAGAGCAAAAGGGCTCAAAGAGCTACAAACCAAATAAAAAGAAAGAAAAAGATCCAATAGTCTCCCCAAAAAAAGAAAGTTAAAGCAACCTAAAAACAAGCTACTGATGCTATAGACTAGCATCCAAAAAAGAAAGATAAGTATATCGCTAAAGTCCCGAGTCTTTCTACAAAAAACCTTGAGTTGATTCAGCATGAAATCCGCCTGCAAAGAAACACAAAGCAAATTCCTAGACCACCACATTTAGAATAGACAAATAATCACAAGGTGTTAGAGGAATAATATAAATTCTAAGAAATAAATAAACATTGAGTACAGTAACACCTAACGTGGAATTTTGGCCATAAGAGCTCAGAAGTAAGTAACTAGCCTCATTTGGAAACTCCCCACGCCACTCAATTTCACCTCCAAACCATCTAAAATAGAATAGAAGGGAAGACCAACAGGACCAGGCCAACCTCCAGAACCAACATAAGTAGAATTTATTCCTCAGAACCAGATCATTAGTGAAACTCTCCCAGCTAACAGTCAAACCAATGAGACAATTAAAAACCCACCTGCTACCAATAAAATTCACTCCAGCACCAAAGAAACCAACAAATATCAATATAAAGAGCAATCGCCCTCAACTCCAGGTGCTGCACAATAAACACCACCGGAAC